TTGTAGTGGGTTGAAAACCAAATGCCACATTTTATGCCAAAATTTTTATTTTTGAAACATTTTCCAACCCGGCAATTTTTGCAGCTTGACTGTTTTCCCTAAATTTAGCAATTCTGGTTTTAGTTTACCAATATTAGCAGTTTAGTGAATTAAACCCTACAATGCAATCATCATTATTGTCTTCAAAGTAAGTTGTCAGTAAGTCAAAATGAACTTAAAATTGCAGCCCAAAATAACTGAACTGAAAACATATGACTTACAGATTTTTTATACTTTAGCCGTGCTTGCATTCAATTTTAAGTTCACTTTAGTTTCCCTTTAAATTGTTGGCAATTCGCACTTTACTATCTAAGCACCAGTTTCTCGAGAAATGAAATTTGAATTACAAAACTGAGGCTAAACTACACATGTTGTGACAAATTACTGAATTGGAAACCTTCTCCAGGCCAGCAGTTTGTAGCTGCATTTTGTAATTCAAGTTTTAGAATTCGGATACAGTTCAATATTTAGTAAGTAGAACAAACCCCCTGACAGGCTACAGTTATAATGCTAAACAAAACATGAAAATAGATTCTATTAAAACAATCTTTCAGCTTATTGAACTATTTCCAAACATAAGGCATACACACCAGTTCAGTGACTTTATCATTAAATAAACGATATATTACACTTAGTATGAAAAAAAATTAACTCAACATTTTATTCATTTTTTTTACTTGGATATATATAAAACACTTTTAAAATTAATTTCTAAAATGACTTACGTAAAGATTGCTTAGAAATCTGATTACAGAATGCAGGGAAAAAAAGGACAAAAATATCCTCTGATTATTATTTTTTTTTTTTTTGAAACCGCAGCTCATCAGAAATAAGATATGGCTGAACGCCAGAACTCTATCAAAGTCAAATATCTGAATAATGTGATCCAACTTTATATTTTATTCTGTATATATCAGGGGAGTTTAGTGGAACGTCCCCGCAGTGCTGGAGTTTAGTATGAAGTTATTTCATCATACACAAAAACTAAAGTTGTTACAATCTTAAAAGTTAAAGGTACACTGCAACAAATGATTCATGCAATGCATGTACATGCTCGTTTTGATTTATGATTATCAGTGCCGGTCCCGGTTCCAGAAAATAGCAGGATTAAATGGAGAAGATGCTATTTTTTTATTTTGTTTTGTATTTTTCTTTTGGTGGAGACAACTAAACATTAGTTTGCCATGGTGGTCAAGAGCTGTGCTCCATCATGTGAGCTTTATAGTCTGCCCATTCAAGAGGAGGGAAACAAACAGTGATTGACAGTTAGGGGACATCCAGTAAATGTTTATTTTATTCACAGATCAAGGGACAACTGGCTTATAGATGGTACCAAAGTATTAGCAGTAAAACAATCTATACATCAGAGCAGAATAATTTCAGACACTTTGGCTGCAGCTAGTGAGAGAGATAGACCAGCGCTGATACAGTGTATTTACCCTTGCTGTGCCTTTGTGGAAGATAGCCAAGATGATCATTTCTAGTGTGAGACTTGGTTTAGCTTACTGATGTATCTACTTAGCTAACTAGTGCTTGTGGCAGTTGAAACAACTCTCCGGGTAATTTTAGACCCAAGTAGCTTAAACTGAAAGCATAGCTGATTTTGTGAATTTTCACAGTTTGAAATATGTAATTCAAGGTTAAATATGAAATTCACTTTACTTTGAATTCTCACTTTATTGTATAACCCTGATAAGGTAGTAGGCGGGTAGTAGACCCACTGCTCATGGGTGGGGGCCGGGGGAGGTGGAGGCTGTAGGTCCCCCTTTTTGTATTTTAGGGCCCCCAACCACCGCTAGTATCACTGAAGTTATATAAACCATGAACCACGATTAATGGTTTATGTCACCTCAATGATTAGCTATATAATAAAACCCATATGTATCAATATGTATAGGATGTGACTAAATTTTATACACCTTATAGTGCTCTTTTTACTGCTATGAGGGGTATTGTTATACTTTGGAGACTTTGCTGAACACAAATATGAGTGTTTAAAACAGTAAAACATACCACAATGATAAAATCACCAGTAAAAGTGCAGTTTTTGTGTAAAAAATGCAAAAAACATATATGAACGCTAACTTTGACAAGCGTCTGTGGCTGAGTGGCTACTACCAAAGACTTGACATACCCCATTTTGAATACCCTGGGTTGACTAACTTTTAAAATGGTATGTCATGGTGGGGTTAATTTTCTTTTCTGGGCTACCATACCATCTCAAATGCACCATAGCCAATCTGGCAAACAGCAATTTACAAAAACAGAAATTGGCAAATCATATATTTGACCCTGTAACCATAATCACCATAAAATCACCATAAAACCTGTACTTGAGGGGTACTGTTGTACTCGTGCGACATTACTCTATACAAATATGAGTGTTTTAGAGCAGTAAAATGTATTATACTGATATTATCATCAGTGAAATGGCAGAGTATGTGTGAAAAATGCAAAACAAATATATAAATGCTCATTTTTGGCAAGGGTTTGTGACTAAGTGGCTACTAAAAAATACAAGATATACCCCATTTTGCATACCGTGGGTTGTCTACATTTACAAATGGTATGCCATGATGGGGTTAATTTCCATGATGGGGTTAATTTTCATTCCTGGGTTTCTATACGGTCTCAAAGTCAACATAGACCCAGCAAACCAATCTGGCAAATTTCAATGTGCAATCATGGAAAACAGGAAAAGTACTACCGTTGACCCCTGTAAGTTTGCAAAAACCCATAAGACCTGTACCTGTACAATGCTGTACTCAGGAAATGTTGCTGAACACATATAGGGGTGTTCTTTGTCAGTAACACATAACAGGAACTGAGAATCCATGCCTAAACTACAATGTGAGAGAAAAATAAGACAAACAAAAAATGACTACCCAAAAGTTTGACTAGTGAAAGAATTAGTGCATGGAAAGTGTTAAAATACCACCATTTGAAATACCCTAGGGTGTCTACTTCTCAAAAATGTATGGTTTGATGGGGGTAAATTACATTGGCCAGCTTCAAAAATGTCCTAAATAGGACATGGGTGCATGATGACCAGCTGTGAAAATTCCAAGTTGGAAAACTGGAATGTGCACCCTCCAAATAAGGTCTTTTAGCTCCCAGAGAACCCGACAGACCTATACCTGGGTGGTATCACTGTACTCAGGAGATGTTTCTGAACATATATCGGGGTGATCTTTGGCAGTAACCCTTAAAGTTCTCAGTACATGTATTCTTAAATTGCTATGTGTGTTTTTTTTTATTTGGCATAGATTGGTAGTAAAATGGTTACATGAAAAGAGTCAAAATACCCCACGGTTAATACC